TTTCCAGGGCTGTGTTACCGAGGGCCAACCCTGACAGTTCACACCCCTCTCATTTACAGAGGCGCCACATTAATTCATCTACTGTAATAGTCACACACACACACACACACACACACACACACACACACACGTTCATGCACCCACAGGGTAGAGGGTACTGCCTAAATTTAATCAGGCAGCACAGATTCATACACATTTTGGAAATTCAAACCATTCGCATAATCAAACATGCAGTTACACACAGCTGAGCCCCTTCATACACACACATTTTTTTTTAGAGCACCAGTGCACCAGGCGTATGTTAATAAACCTCATATGATCCAAATTGTTCCACCTCCCCCCTGCTGCTCTGTCAAAGTAGCACCAAACCACTAAATAGGAGGGGAGACAAAGCAGGGCTGGGCTGCAGGCAAAAACAAACGCACACAGTCATAAAGCCACGCGTATACACAGTATTTGAAAACAAGCTGAGACAGAACAACTTACTTCATGACACATTATGGTCAGGAGTGTTTTCTTTTTACAAACCTCAGCTATTTTAAAACTGCCTTTTACATCTTTCACTTAAAGTAAAAATGAAAACAGAAGATATTGCTTGACCAGCCGTGCGTCCACATGAAAAATGTATGATGATGGATATTTTATGATAAAGCCTAAAATATGAATAAAGTGCTCTGAATGTTTGGGGGCTTTTCTCACTGATTGCTTATTTTCTTTGAGCATACATAGGTCAGATCTGTCTTTCTGCGTCACTGTGTCTCTTTTTGTATGTGTGATGTCACCTGTGTGTGAGAGTAGATTAGAGGACACATGTGACTAACGTGAGGGAGAGTCATTGGCCTGGAGTTTCCCACTCTAACAGGGAACACTGAGGCCAACTACTGATTTAAACATCAGCTGCCATAAATGTTTCAGGGAAATGGAAGGAGATGGAGGGACTGCTGGCAGATTTCAGGGAGATTGGGGGGGGCGGGTGGGACTGTTGTGTTTCAGAGCAGGACAAGAACAAGAAATACGTGACAAAACAGGCATAAGGATTTGAAAAAGGCTGATCCCACATGACTTATTTCTTTAAAATCGGAATGAGATCATTTAAAGCAGTCCTATGTTGAGCTTATTTAAAATTGAAACACTTTCAAACCAGTGTGAGAGAAGTGTATCAGTATAACTACATGGGCGTCCTGTCCAGTCCTATAGTGCAGGTTGTCTCACAGTGTTTTATAGCAAAGGTAGGTCAACTCCCCTGAAGTAAACACCACGTCACCAACATCCTCGTAAAAAATGTATACACTTTAAAGGTAACCTATTATGCAAAATCCTCTTTTTCATCCTCCTCATGTTTTTCCAGCAGAGCACTAGCCTATAGGCAAAACACAGAAGATCAACAAAAGGTATGACTTTCAGTTTTACTGATTTGAATCGCTATACGCTGCTCTCTCTCGTCTCCTCTTCACAAACAACTACTATTTTCGCGGCACACGTACTTGCAGCCAATCAGCTCTCTGAATTATGAGATGACGTTTGGTAGGTATGTCAGCACAGTGCCCCTATGGTGATTACTTTTTTTGCCGCACACATTGAATAGAAAAATACTCTGAGCATGCGCAATGTAGTTTTTACAGCACCCATTCACTTAGACAGTGAGAGAGAGGGGCTTGATCGGGGCTTGACCCACATGGCTCAAAACGGCTCAATAGGCACACTCTAGACACTAATTAGAAGAACACAGACTAAAACAGCAATGTACAGACGAATCAGATGATCAAACATGATCTTAAAATATATTTTAAGATGTATTTGTTTTGCATTTCTTTCGGAATTATTATTTGAATTACTTTCTGCTGACACTAGGTGGGGCTGTGCCCCTAATGACCAGTCGCCACTGGTCCTGATCCATTGATATAAAAACCTGTCTGAAAATAAGCTGATAAGATTTTGGCCACTTTATGATGTCACAATGTTTTTTTTACTTGTGTAACCATGAGCCAATAACCAACCAAGGTAACCCCCCCCACCTTATCACCTGAATCTCCTCCTAGAGCACCATTGAGTTTTTTTAAACCAAATATCTCTCAGAGGGGCGTGGGGAGTGGCTCCTTATTTTCATCTAAAGTAACGGGCCGTCTCCACAGCAGCGTTAAAAAATCTTGAAACGCTTCTGCCCATTCACTTTGAATGGGGTGACGTCACTTTCCCTCACTTTTCGCCGAAATGCATTGTGGGCAGGCGAGCGGAGATTCTCAGGATTTTCAAGATTCAAAGTTGAACAATGTTCAACTTTTGAAGCTGAGGTGGAAGCGGCAGCCAATCAAATCCCGTGTACGCAAATCTGGCAGTTCAAGCTCTAGCCAATCAAACGGCGTGTATGCTGGGAGAGACATACCGCAGGTCATTTCCTCATATTCCTAAAAATGGAGGAGAAATTAGCGGTAGCGAATCAATCACCCGGTGCTTTATGACCAGACCTACCGGGATATAAACCGGAGGAGCCAGGCATGGAGGGAGGTGGCAGAGACAGTGGTATGTTTTCGCCTGTTTTGGGGAGTTTATATCCAGTTTACTTCGGGCTTTTTGGCTTCGTATGTCGCGGGCGGGAGATTCATGTGATTGGTTGATCGCAAAAAAATCCCCAAGCCTCAGATACGCCCACCTCCAAGATTTTTTTAACGCTGCTGTGGAGACGGTCCGTAACAGACAGAGAATCAGCACTTTTGAAACAGGGCTGAAACAGAGGGGATTATGGGATGCTACAATGATCTGTTTGGTATTTTGAGCCAAACACTTCAGAGACATGTTTTGTATATATCTGAGACCTATAATATATTGATGAAAAACAGTATAATAGGGGACCTTTAAACATAAATCTTCAGGTGGAAAAGAGCAGCGGGAGTATTTTGGAGAAAGTTGTTAAAGCCTCTTAGCAAATTGATGACAAAATGAGATGTGTCAGGATCTGGAAGGCTTGCCATTTGGCTACACTAACAATAGGGTTAGGGATAGTGGTGGTCTAATGGATAGTGAGGTGGGCTGAAGATTCGGAAGGTTGTGAGTTCAAATCCCGCCAGGAACACCACCACTAGTGTGCCCTTGAGTAAGGCACTTAGCCCTTAGTTACTCCAGGGAGAATGTCCCTGTAACTGGTAATTGTAAGTCGCTTTGGATAAAAGCGTCAGCTAAATGAAATGTAATGTAATAGCACCTCTAACATATTTTAGAAATGTTTGCTGTTTACTTTACAACAGTTATGTTCATAAATGCAGCAGTAAAACAAGCTATATTCTCATTTATGAGAGCCTGATACTATCCCTGGTCCAATAAACACCCAACAAGACAGTCTGATATTGCTGATTCACATATCTTCAGCCTACATCAAATACATACATACACAAATACATAAACGATGTCTATACTACAGCATTTATTTATTTACACTAGGAAAGTTGGAAAAATTGTGTAATTTCCCCAAACTCTCTCACTAAATCACACACCTTTAAGCCATTCCATATGCTCTTTTTTGATAACTAAAGTAATATGACTCATTGTTTACTATCATTCACTCAGCCTTCCCAAAAATAGTTTAGACACCCTAAGCATAGTAAAGATCTGACAGAATTGTACATTTGTTATTATGTTGTGCTTTCTTAAACACAACTTCTAACAGGGCAGGCAGTGTGGGGGGATTTAAGTCGATGTGTTGTGGTCAGGGGAAGTTGCATGTATTTGTTTTACAAAAGGAATACAGGTCAGGGTCATAGGAGAAGGCTTTTACCGCACCTTTGATGGATAATCAATAGGACAACTCATCTCAGGAGCTCAACAGTGCACTTCTCCTCCTCTCTTTATTCTTCCTTGAGCTTCATTTCGGGTCTCTTTCTTTCCACTTTTGCTCTCAGTTCAAAATCCAATATCTGTATCAATGCGTGTTAGTGGTATACAGAATGCATGAAGGCCTATCATCCATCTCCAAGGTCATGAAACATCCTCACACACTCTCTGATCGATGTAAAGGAGATCAAAACTCCAGTGTGTGGCCCCCCCCTGCTGGCAGCAGCTCATACTGCTCACTAGCTGTTGACAGTGCTGACATTAGCACTGATTCACTCCAAATTCAATTAGCTAAATGGCAGACTGAATCAGGTTAAATGCAGAGTGAGCCTGCTGAAATGAGCACAACTGTTGAAGACTAAAGGGTTAATAATCAGCCACAATTACATCTGAGAGCTCACATTAAGAAATCTAATTCAATAATAGGGTGGAGGGGAGGAAACTAAACTGCTGATGTAAAGGCTGAAGACTAAAACTCGAAGCTCCTGGCATCCCAGGCATGACATGTGTGTGTGCATGTGTGTCACTGAAAGTGAATTAAAAATAAATAAAAGGAGAAACCTTCTTTTGTAAAGGAGCGAGCTGTTCAATTGCATGCAAACACACACATACAAGAGCACATTCTTCTGTAGAATTATATTCAAGTACATAGACACAGACAATTGAGGACAGTGTGTGTGTGTGTGTGTGTGTGTGTGTGTCTGTGTGTCTGTGTGTCTGTGTGTCTGTGTGTGTGTGTGTGCCAGAGGACAAAGGCAGGCACACACACACACACACACACACACACACACACACACACACACACACACACACACACACACACACACACACACACACACACACACACCACACACAACACACACACACACACACCACACACACACACACACACCACACACACATCACACACACACACACACACACACACACACACACACACACACACACACACACACACACTACACACACACACACACACACCACACACACACACACACACACACACACACACACACACACACACACACACACACACACACACACCACACACACACACACACACACACACACACACACACACACACACACACACACCACAAACACCCACACACACACAACACACACACCACCACACACACCACACACACCACACACAGACCTGGAAGCAGACTTACCTGCACATATTCCCCCTGGCTCTCTGCTGGCTCCATGAGGCTGGAGAAACGGGAGAAAAGATGAAAGAGAGGAAATGTTAGCCAGTGTAATAACAGGAAAAAGGCTGTAAACCTCTGTTGAATTGTGTGCACATGTGTATCCAACACACATGTGCACACAAGCTATGGTGCTTTGATCTGGTCTGGGTAACAGGTGATATGTTACTAACAGACATAACAACACGGCTGTATTTCCCATGCCCCTCCTCGTGACAGCGGCCTCTCCACGCCTCAACAAACAACTACTGAGCAGCTTAAGGTTGCCAATATTGAGCTGGCCTCTCAAATCTCCCAGGCACCATAACTCAAACTTTTACACTTCATGATGTCATGCGGCTCATGTGGTCAAAACCCCCCCCGCTGCGCCGGAGCCCTGGGAGTCATACTGTTGGTACTTTGTGATACAGAGCGAGGGAGAGCTAAAGGGGCAATTACACTCGCAGACAAGTTTCGGGATCAATCGCCGCAGTTTCCAATTTGCATGATGGGTCTCCTAGGGCCCCGAGCGAAGCTGTGCTACACATGACCACAGAGAGGCCAGATCAAAGGGCCCCATCCAGGGGAATGTTAATAGGTCCCACGACAGAGGAGCTAATATTCCCTCACCAAACTTCCCCTGAGATTACATTTTTGAAAAATGGTTGTACAGTGGGAAATATTTGCCCTCCATAATTTTCATTGATAACATCAGCATTTATCCAGACAAGAATGTGACTGAGCTGTAAATAGAAAAACATACCAATCATACATCAGGCTATAAAAACAGCAGACCGAGATAGCAAGAAGGCCATCGAGCACGACAGTAGATTTATAATAAACACCATTTATCTTATGCAACACCCCTCACAGTTGTTTTATGACTGCAGTAAAGCGATCTTTATTTAATCTCTTAATAACTTCTCAAAACACAATACAGAAAGCTTGGCAACGATGCAAAGTGTCTGCAGGCAATAGTCAATTTGTTGCAACAACCTCAAACAGAGCAGTAAACTTAAGTTGCTGTATGAAACCCTTGTACTTTGACTTTAAATGATTACACGTGTACTTAATATTATACTTTATTAACGTGATATAAAGCTTGACTTTTATTTGTTACTACTACTTCTACTCTGTACAAACAGCAACAGCATCTGACTCAAGGATGTGAGAACAGAGGCTGTCATAGGTTGTACAAACTGTAAAGCTCTGAGAGAAACATGTTATCATGGGCTATATAATTAAAATTGATTTGAAATTGGCTTTGCTTGGGGCTACACTTATCTGCATGTTATCTTTATTGATGAATCAGGTAATTGTTGTGTCTCTAAAATGTCACAAATTAGTGAAAAACGTAACTACAAGGTAACATAAATGATGTTACCTTGTAGTTACGTTTTTCGTGTATTTTGTTACATAACACATGATCATATTGAAACTCTTTCATCTGACCTAACAGTCCACCACTAAACTATATTTAGTTGTCATATGACAACGAATAAGAGCATCACTAGTTTTTACCTTTAGTTAAACATCAAGCTGAGGGCATCCCTGTGGCCCCCCTTCTTAAATGAGGGCCCAACAAATACATTCACATGCTTTGCTTTTTGATAGGGGGTAAATAACTAAATATATAATCATGCCAGCTATAAACCGACTAACACACCATGACAGCATTTCATTTCAGAGCCAAATCTTACCAGCAGCACCACCACTGACTGAGAAGTGAACTTTGTTTTCCAGTAAGGCAAAGCCAGACAAAGAATGAAGAGCTGCACTTTGGACAGAATAAGAGCCGGAGAGGGAAATGGACAGTCAGGCTGAGAGAAGTGCCTGTGATTTAGGGCTGAGGAGACAGAGAGCTCTTTGAAGTGGCCATAGTGAACCTACACTACACCATAAAGCCATATTTCCCACGGTCCCTGCAGCTGAACTAATGGGCTGATGCTGCACGCTCGCACATGCGCATACCCACGCGTGCACACACACCGCAACATCCTACACGATACACACACTTCGTTATCATGCATGGAATATTGTCGGCAGTGAGATATGTCATGGGAAAGCAGGGAGGAGACGCAATCTGGAGGAGGAGTTACACAACATGTTCCCCTAAAACTCTCCAAAAACTCTAAATGTGTTGATTAATCCACTTTATCCATTATCCTTTATCCACACATTATGTAACGCACACAATAAACGCACGAAATGACCTCGGTCTCCTGTGAGGAAGCACACAAATCAATGCAAAATATAAGAAAACATAAAAGAAACCAACAGTACGCCAGCTTTACGCCAGCATCTGCTCAATGAAAGTGATCGATATCACCTGCTGCCTGTGAAAAAGTCAAGTAATTAATCCTGTTATCGTCTCACCTCACACCCATAGCTCGAGGCAAGTTGTGTCCACAGTAAAGTCAGCACTCTGTGAAGCAGCCAACTTCCCGGTGTCTCCACGCACAGTTAAATCATTTTACGCCCCCTGGTTAAAATGGAGCATGGACGGATTAACCTTTTCCAGGGCCATGGGCAAAACTGCGCTTCTGTTCCCCTATTGACCCAACGTGTCTTCACTTTAATGTGTACAGTTATTCAGTCCTGGATTATACCAAGGCCAACATTTACTGTGTGTTTATTTGAATAAATAAATAAGCTAAGGAATATAATATATTTTCACACTAGGTAAGTGTGGTGTGGTGTCAAGTGCAAGCTCTTGAGTTCTATATAAATAAGTAATATAAATACACTACACTATCCATTACTCGCATAATTCAAGTAATCTCAACAAAGTGTTGTTTTAATTACCACAACGGCAAACTAGATTAAATTAAATACGATTTGTAGTTAATAATGAGGTTGGTATATTAGGAGCGGTGTGTTTTTGTCCAATTTAGTGGACAGAGAATCATGTGTAATATTTTTCCAATAAATAAAACTACTTGGAAATACTTTTTTAGTACTCTTTAGTCGTCACTTGATGTTAACAAATGTATTTTTAATGGGCCGATCTGCATAAAATGTTGTCCTTTATGACCTTTATGACCTTTGCTTAGTGTTAATAACAATGCATACCACCCAAATCTGGGTCAACATGTTATACACCCAGCCCTTTAATGAATGGCATTGTCCCCTCTTCCTGAGAATAAGTTTGTTTTTCTCTTTCAATAACTTTTCAAAAGGATGAAAAATATACTGTTCAAATCGAACAGGAAAAATAATGAAAATCACCAGTAAACGCTGTCAGAGTCTGGGTTTCCTTTTCCTTTGTCGCCTCCTCCTGTCAGCTCTGTGCTCTCTGCCTCCTGCTTTGGTTCAGCCACAGCCTGAGGCTCCAACCCATCCTCCTCATGAGTCCTCCAGCTGAGTGGAGCTGATGAAGTCTCCTCTGGATTCATGTCCACATCTGTCTGGGTGATGCACTGCTCGTCACAAGCCTCTGGTTTGGGTGTGGCACTTGAGCCACTAGATGGCGGCATGGCAGCTACAGGGCCATGGTCGGTGTTTTGGGTGTTTGTGACAACATCAGTTTCCCCTGCAGGCTCACGCTGGGTCTTGGGATCAGTGAGAAAGGATTTCCCAAGCTCTACATCAGCCACTGTGGGTAAGGGGGCTTTGAGCCTCAGGGGGCCACACTCTTGGGACCCTGCAGGTCGCTGGCTTTGACTTCTGCTGATGCTTGTCTTGTCTTTACTCTTCTTATTGCCGTTGGGGCCTCCTACAAAGAGGCGGGAACATCAGAAATAAACATAAAGATTTGTTTAGCTTAAAGGTGCACCTATTATGCAAAATCCACTTTTTCATGCATTTTATACATAAACATGTGTCCCCTCTGTGTAAAGAGATTCTGAAAGTTTCAGGAACAAAGACCCCCTCGCTTTTTGTCCTGACCGATTTATATAAAAACCTGTCTGAAAATGAGCTGATCAGATTTTGGCCACTTTGTGATGTCATAAGGTTTTTTTGGGTTGTGTGACCATTAGCCAATAACCAACCAAGGTAACCCCCGCCAACCTTATCACCTGAATCTCCTCCTAAAGCAGAGCGGCGTGGGGAGTGGCTCCTTATTTTCATCTAAAGTAACAGACCCAGAATCAGTACTTTTGGAACTGGGCTGAAACAGAGGGATTTATGGGATGCTACAATGCACGATCTGTTTGGTATAGAGCCAAACACTTCAGAGACATGTTTTGTATATATCTGAGACCTATAATATATTGATGAAAAAGAGTATAATAGGGGACCTTTAATAGATATCACAAAAGTGTTGTTGCTAACTTCTGAAGCTTTACCTTTATTATTCTTGCTTCTTCTCTTCATGAGTAGCCGTGGCAAGGTGCCCATGTGAGAGTAGTCATCACTAGAGCGGACGTAGCTGGAGGTGCGAGGACGCATGGCATCCATGTCATCCATGGTGGTCTCAACCACTGGAGCAAGGGTCGCCTCAGTGACGCCACCACAGTCCGTGCCATCTTCAGGCACAATTCCTGATTCAGACTTTGAAGAGGACTTGGAGTCTGATTTCTCAGTGGAGCGACGAAATGTGAGGTTGGTGAGGCTACCAAACCACTTGAAACCTTGAGGGTGGAACAGTCAGAAAAGAAGACATGCTCAGAATGTGGTAACTGCGACGTGTTTGATGGTGATAGAGAAGTTAAAGAAGCTGGTTGGATTACAGCTGTACAATAATAATTTGCCATTTATATTACATCAAATCACTATTATGAAATGTGTGGTGCTGAACCAACACATAGCTCTTATATTATATATTAGTTAAGAGTACATTAGAGTTTGTTATTTTTAAGAAGTTGTTAAAGACTAAAACAGATCCACAAATACTGTAGTAACATAAACCTACAGATGTTGTGTTTTCAGTTGGTTCTGCTGCCCTGAAGTGGCCAACATCAACAATGCAGCTTCAAATTAATTGTTACTGCAAAATACCCCTTTTTGAACAAGTGTCTTGATCGTGTTACCCAACAAATGAGATGTAGAAGCAGTCAACCATTTGCAGCTATATACTGTTTATAATAACAATTATATTTCTATATAAATTAATTAGAATAAACACTGCAAGTCTCTATAAAATCTCTTAATATCGTTGTACGTCTTCTTTTCTGAATTGAAATGAAGCTGCAACTGTGTTTTTGGATGTCATCATTATCACCACATTGTTGTAAACAGTTAATGCTTTACTATATATGTAAACACATGTAGTGCAGCTGCTCTACACACACACACACACACACACACACACACACACACACACACACACACACACACACACACACACACACACACACACACACACACACACACACACACACACACACACACACACACACACACACACACACACACACACACACACACACACACACACACACACACACACACCACACACACACACACACCAACACACACACACACACACACACACAGTACTCACTGAGTTTCCGTAGGCTCATGTTGTGGCTGCAGTGTGGCTCAGCTGCAGCTGGCTGACAGATGGATCATCTGAGAGGAACTGAACACCAACAGAAAAAGTAGAGCCGGATGGGGAGGATAAGCTGTGTTAAGGTGGAGAAACTTTGGCATGAACCACAGTTCCTCTCTGTGGGTGAGTTACTGCTCACAGAGGCGTGTGTGTCTCTGTGACTGAGAGATGAGAGGCAGCGACAGGGGCAGGGCACACTGTGACACTTCCTGTGTAGAGCAGAGAGGGCCAATGGTAGGAGGAAATGAAAAGATGAGATGACAAGGTTTGAAAAGGTTAAGATAAGAATACAAATATATGAAACATGTCAGGCTGGAATGAAAAAGTGTTGATAGGATAGATAGAGTGCCGATGGAAACTTGGAGGGTGTAAAGTCAGAAGTGCTGATTGGTAATTTGAGTCCCATTGAAATAAACAGCTGGCTATAAACTCATCCAGAGGTAATAATACCTATCACCGCTTATTACCCTGAGTCTTTTCATCTTTCCTGTGCCGCTTTTGAACAGTTAATGTTTGATTAGGTTAGAGATTATAATGCTGCTTCATACATGCATGATTAAATCACCTGAAACATTTGAAATATGTATTTATGTCGGGACATTTTGATCAGCACATCTCAGACTTCTGCGATGCACAAATGTGAATTCTGTGAGTGTGGGTGAGTCACACCGGATGCTAATGCATTGAGGTTGTGTTTATGATTATTGTGTGTATGTCAGCTTGTTCTTTACACAGGATGGAAGTATTGCAGTTACATCAATTCAGGTGATCATCTTGGATAGGGTGGTGTGTAAGGGCATTCAGCATTTCACAGTTTGATTTGGTAAAGAAATAACTGAAAATGCCTAAAATATATGTGGCAAGGACCATCCTTTGAATAATAGCCTAACAATGAATCAGTCATTACAGGCCTTTGATGTGCATTCAACCAAAGTTCAAACATGCTTTACTTTTTTCAAAGAAACCCAATATTAGGCAGAATTTTGTATGAAAATACGTGAATATCCCTATATTATGATGGAGAAGTGCATTAAAAAAAACATGGAGTCCTGGGTTTGGATATTTCGCTCAGAGAAAGGTTTTCATAAGGTTGATTTTTGGAGACTTGTTTTTCCCTTTTTGTTAACCTTGTTTTGCATAGAAATATTTACATTGTAATAAGGTACCCTATTGTAAAATAAATGGCATGACTTTAAAAGCAGAAACCGTGACCAGCATCCTGTCTCCTAGCAGCAGTCAACAGTGTTTCCTTCTGATCATCTCCACAATCTGATCATTTTGAGAAGTAGTCATTTCTGTATCTTTCTTCCCCTTTCTTCAAATACTAGGGAGACCAGTTAAGATCACACCAGTTGTGTGTATATTAGTTTACATGTTGAGCCGGTCTTTATGGGCTTTCACTTCCTGTTGACTTTTGGGCGTGCAGCTTCTGCAAAGATGTACTTGGCTTCCTGTCAAGACCATATCACACAAGTATGCAGCTACGAAACTGTGAAGTGTGAAGCCATAGAACAGAGTGAAACAAATAAAAAAACTGTGTGAAAAAAATAAAAAAACTGTGTGAAAAAAATGCAAATATGCAAACATGCAAATAAAAAAAGCCTTTTTCAGCCCCTCATAGGCGTCCCTCAATGAAAACAGAACATGTAAGCTTCACTGTAGTCAGTTCATACACTAACAGTTAAGATCTTTGTCGTCTCTTAATCGCCCTCTAGGTGGCATCAAAGGTCCTTGAATAAGCCACACTTCACCACAGATTACAGCAGATACATGCATGTTTAATGCAGATAATGTCTGATAAATTGGCTTGCATAATTCCAGTTAGGAGCCATAATGACTTGTAAATTAATGGTTGCCTCTTTACCAGCCTATTGGTATGTTTGATCCTATCATAAATACACATTCCGGTCATTTGCTTTGTCCTTAAAATGTCTTTTTTTGGTGATGCAATATTTTATCTTCCTCAGGGCCGACCAGGACAAGGTCATTTTAGGGAATAAGGTCCAGTTAACTCTGCGATTTTATATCAGGTAGAGTAAATTGAGAAATATGATGCAGTGTAATAAACACAAGCACACAATCAAGTGAACACACGCACACACCCTGAGGTAATAGGTTGGACTTTCATTTTGGACTTTGTGTCCCACGCAGGTTTTCAGAAGTAATTTGCTAGAGTGAATGCCTGTGATTGTTTGTGTGTGTGTGTGTGTGTGTGTGTGTGTGTGTGTGTGTGTGTGTGTGTGTGTGTGTGTGTGTGTGTGTGTCTGTGTGTGTGTGTGTGTGTGTGTGTGTGTGTGTGTGTGTGTGTTACTTTAATTTCAGGTTGATGAAAAACAAGACTTCAATAATTCAGCTCTCTGGCTCCTCATACAATGACAAATATCAGTCACTTGTACCCGGGGGCATTTTGATACTCACCGCCCTGTGAGAGGCACACACACCAAACTGAAACGGATTTAAACAATAGTATAAATGCTATGAGCCTGACTGAAGTCCCTTCCACCTGTTTCTTAGATTACCAAAATGACAAACCAAAGTATACATATTGGTAAAAGTATAAATATTGAGATAACACCTTTTTATAAGGGTACTGTAATTTATCACCAGATCTGATGTAATTGTTTCCACAGCCTCTTGTAATAATATAAAAGCTTACTGGACAATATAAAATGTAAATTAATAGATTATAGTAATGAAGGTTATTCTTACTTCTTGGTTATTTAGGATTATTAAGGCATGTGATTTTGGTGTAAGCTGCCAGAACTGATAGGTTTATATCTAAAACATGAAAGCTAAATCTTATCCTTGATTTTAATATTATTTTATGATCACATTGTAATAAATAGAACAGATACAAGCTTTTATCTAATTAAAAAAGCACAAACACATTTTAAAAGGCCTATCATGCAGCCTAGAAACTTAAAAACATGTTGTTTTATGATTTTTACCTTCTTGCTTCCATTATGTTTCCAATCATTTCAGCATTAGCTTTAGGTGAAGCGGGGCTAATGTTGTATCCCTGGCATAATTCAGTTTAAAGTCGAGAGCTTTGCAATTATGTCTTTTTTATTACTATCCAGTCAAAAATGTTGTAACTCAAAATAGATTTGAAAAAAAGTGCTCCATGTATCACCTGCACAGCGCTGCAATGAATCACTCTGCAATGTTGTCCTTGAATATAAATGATGAAGTTATTTCAGGATGATATCTGCTGTACCTGTGCAATACATAACCTGTGTCATGCTGAAATGAATTAAGAATAACTTCTCAATTTTTATCCAAATGTTTTTACTCTGCAGGTATTGCATTCACTATTTGGGTCGATTGAACACGTTTTACATAATATAAAATATCCATAACTGGTTTAATTTAGCATTAATACAGCAGTTTGACAAATAAAGAACTGAAACAAAGCACCACGGAAATGTCTGTTTCTGTTCTAAACAACCCTTTTTTTTTTCATGGCTTTTGCTTTCCTTTTCAAGTAGTCCACCTGTCCCTATTATTGTATACTGTCCAAAAGACAAATGATGTCAAAAATGAAATGACAATGGACGAGGAAAAGGTCAAGACGACAGTATTTCAAATTGTGTTGTCATCAGGTTTTGGCAATTTGTATTGACTCGGCCTCTATTTGTTACACACACGGTATGGGGGGGGGTGGCTGAATTATTGAACCCTTGTTTGTCATCAGGGTGAAATTAAAGCAGCACATTGTGAGAAGCCTGACTTGACACATCACACTCTCTGTATATGTCATTCTATTGTTTCCAAAAATAAAGGGAAAAAAATGCATGACATTATTTTGAAATGCTTAATCATACCTGGATTGAGTTGATGTTTGTTTTCACTGTTTTTTTTATATATATACATTTAAATTATATTGTTGTGATTATTTAAAAATATATATATTATTACAAACAAAATCATAGAGATTTGTTTTTGGGGACATTGTTGGAATATTGTAAATATGACTTTAGGTGAAGGTGGTGTTGTGCTGGACTACCGTATGGAAACAGCACAGATTAACAATAAAACAATCCTATTGAGTGCAGACTCTAAGCTTCATATTCTCATTTTGCTGGACTTAATTACAGCTCTCAATTTATGATCATACAATTGTACTTAACAGACACAAGGACTGGGTGGATTTAGATCATACTTATCAAACAGACTTCAAAGTCACTGTTGAAAACCTTTCTTTAAATATTAAACTGCTTTTCTGTTTGATTAAACAAGGTCACCTCCAACCTTGAACACAAAGCACTTTTACATGTAGGCACAAAGAAGTTAAAAAGCTTATCAAAATGCTTTTACTATTTTAACAACTTTTTTCCAATCGAGACTGATTTGTTGCTCTGACAGCCAAGGGTCTTCATGAAAAACACTTTCTTTCAAGACTCAATAAAAGACAACTTAATGAAGAAAAAAACACAAAGATTCCCAGTGGGGAGTGAACCCATAACCTTGGGTTGAAGACCAATCCTCACTACCCACTATGCTATGAAGATACTGTCAAAACCTTTCAATTTGCAGTAATCTGTAAACCTAGGGGGATGCGCCATACTAGCTTCATGGCAGGTGGTTTGGTAGATAAACAAGTGCATTATGATAAGGCTATTGTCTGGTCCTCTCTTCAGTTATTCTCTTCATTTAAAAAACAAAAAAAGCCTTAAATTCGCTTTAGTCTGATATTTGTTGTCTCCGGTCTAGAGATGGTCCAGTGGAGAACAACGCCCGAGGTATGCTACACGGGAGTGTGTGTTGTGTGCTTATTTGTGTGGGTTACAGTTTTTCTTGATTGCTAACACACATTTTTTTTTTAAATGCTCAGTTTCTCAGAACACTAAACACAATTCACAAAACCACACACCCAAATTGCAAAACACCTCATTTCTCCTGCTAAGTGAGGAACTGCACTCAAAACTACATAAACACTTACCAAATGCAAACTTTAGCACCAAATATAACACACTTCATTCATAATACTAGATGGTTTGACCACCCAACTACACACTGCTGAGCATACTCTAAAGCACTTTCATCTGTTATGGGCTATGCTCTGTACATAGAGGTTTCTGCAGAGAAAGATTGCTTGAGTAAACAGAAATACAGTAAATGAAGAAATACAAATGAGTTGTT